CCCCCCCCTTTTTTGGCCTTGTGCCACAATTGTAACTATTGTTGCAATAAATCTTCAGGGTTTGTATTAAGTTAAAACCTGCTTTATTTTTGTCTGCCAGCTGGACGCTAGCTGGGACTCTTACACCGGTAAGTGCTGTTTATTATTGTTATTCTACATGGCCCAAAACTACATGTGGTGGTCAGGGATGGATGCTGATATTGAGGAAAAGGTTAACCATTGTTATACATGCCAGAGCTGCAGAAACTTTCCTGGGAATGGCTCAGGGAACCTTGGCATCAGATTCACATGGACTATCTTCTTATAAAGTTGCATCTGAAGCAAGACTCATAAATCGGGAGGGGGGGATGTAATGTATGAAAAGCTGGGAGTGATACATTTTTTAGGGTAGCACCAGACACTTCTGCCGGGGCAGCTGGTATGTAAGTAGGCTTTTACATAGTAAAGAAAAAATAAGACACATGGCAGCATTGTGTGATCATTCCTGAAGCAGCTAGACCATAGTACTGATAACATTAGATGTATCCTTTTAGTGTCTTCATTTAAATATCAACAAGAACACCAAATGTCTGAGGTAAAATACATTTTTAAAATAAATTCATTCACACATTCTAGATTTAAACAGGAATTTAGGCATACTCAAAGAATACAGTTTCCACAAGAAACAATCTACAACCCTATCATGGTAAACAACTAGCCAAAAACTATCAGATCTTTTCATATAGAAAAAAAAATCCCACTTCATTTTTCATTTCTTGCCTTGTTGAGAAAAGACACAGGTATGTCTAAAAATTCTGATTCATTCTGATCATGCTTCCATTTGGTCAAAAGACCTACTAATATACAATATATATTATTAGTCTTATTATCAATATTATTATTAGTTTTGGTGTTTTTTTATTTCTTGAATTTCTTCTATATATATGTGTGTGTGTGTACATACGTACTAGCTTAAAAGCAGCCCTATCAGGTGGCATATAAGCTAGCTCCTTGATTGGGTGTTTGGCTTGTTCAAAAGTTTGAGAGTTGCTAATTCTTCACATATTCTCAGCACTGACAGCTCTACTGGCTGTTGTTTGAACTGGGTTTTCATTTGCATGAGACTTTCTTTTCCTCAATATATATTATTTTTAGATCTTGATTGCAATCTGGTTTTGTTGGCAGAGATTTCTTTTTTATAGGCACATGCTGCCGTATGTGATAGGGTAACAATAAACTACAGAAAAAAAAAATAAATAGATCGCTGCATTAATATTTAAAACTTACCTAAAAAAAAAGTTTAACAATAATTCTTCTGCTGCCATTTAAATTTAAAGACAATTTGAAAACATAGGTATTTTACTTTCTGTACAAACAATTACTTTTATTTCATGGGTGACTTTTGCTGGACTTCACAATTAATTTCAGTTATTCCTAAATTTATTTCCAAGTTATAAAAATTGTTATCATGCAAAAAACTTTGCCACAAAAAAAAAATCACTTAAAAAAAAAAAACTTTTAGAAAAACAATTAATAAGTAATGAAAATTCAATAATCCAAAATTTCAGAATTGCTCAACAGTCAGTTTTGAAAAAAAAAATGGTAAATATATTGAGCCTCTAGGAGTAAAGTTGAAAAAGTGCGACACTGACATTCACATTTATTTATATAGAAGACATATTTAAAACTTAGAGAGTTGAAAAAGACATTCCCATTGCATATTTATATATATATATATATATATATATATATATATATATATATATATATATATTGTTATGAATTTTTTTATCTTCCTTATTTCCTAAACATCCCTCTAGTTAAGAGAACAACGAAAAAAAATGATTATTACAATTCATGTTATATTCTAAGTAAAACAGATTCTTCAGAAATGCTTGCCATGTAAAGATACCTAAACATTATGCTAAAAATCAAAAAAATAAAATAAAAAACTCAAAGTCTATTCAAGCTTTAACAATAAAGTAGCATGTTTACAATTCATACCCATATTACAGAGATCAAATCTGTATAGAACAATTGTTCTATATTAACATGTGCAGCAAATAAAACTTAATAAAAATTAAGTAATTCTAACATGATATTTGTTTTCACTTACATCCTCTGACCAAAAAAGCTGATGTCATGGTAAATTTTGTTCAGAAAGAAAATTTTCAGTAAGGAAATGAATCATATTTGCAGTTGTTTAAAATTAAAATATATGTACCTGTAATACATATAATAAGTTATTTATTTTTAGAAAATATATCATTGAAAATAAACAAATTAATTCAATAGTTAATAACATTAACACAATTAACCTTAAAGTTGAATGAATCTGATTTGAAACAAATATTACTTAGTTATGGTATAAAATGTTGCATACAAGCATTTCTTAACCATGAGGTCTTGTTTTTTTAATGTGTTAATCAATTTATTGACAGCCAATTGACCAACGAAAAAAATAGTTACATGGTGTATTCCAGACAAACCTTTTATAAGGGAGACAACCCTTAAAAAACAATTTATTTTTTTTTTGCTAGATTTATCAGTTTGGACATCCATACTTCAGAAAATCTGCAAGTATATACACATACAAAAACAAATCTAAAATCTTAAAAAATATTTGGAGGAATCAGATTATAAGCTTTACAACATATGATTAGTAAATATAGTTTTACTTAATAACAATATTTCTAACAGTTATCACATTGAAACTAAATTTTAAAAGATTTAAAAACCAAAGAAATTATTGAATTTAAAATTGTAAAAAATGAAAAATCTTGTAAAAATTCATTTTTCATCAAATAAATTTTTTTTTTATTCAGTCAATATTATCTTTAATACATACTATTCATAAAAGCAATTAAAAGCCTTTAATTGAATAATGTCTCAGTTTTATTGTTTTTTCATTTTTCAATTCAGAACAGATTTTCAGTAAGACAGGGTCTGATTTTGCAAAAAACATGGTGATTTAAATTCTTCAAAGAATTCTATATTCAACTAATTATGGTCACTAAAAATTATCACATTGAATTTCTCAAGTTTTCATAAAATTTAGGTGAGGAGGGGAAAGACATGTAAAAAAAAAAAATAAAAAATTTACCAAGATTTTCTAATAAAAAAAAAAAAATTCCCAAAATAATTTCATTGATTTGTGAATAAGTGCTGAAAATTTCATTAAAATCCAACATTTGATTTTTGCAAGAATTTCTAAATGTGTCTGTCACCACAAAAAAAAAAAAAACAGACTAAAATTAGTTATACTAAAAGTTAAAATTTTTCTGCTGACACAAGAAAAACAAGATTTTAATCAAAATTTCCAATGTTCTAAAAATGAGTAAAAAATTTAATTAAATATTAAAATACTTTGATCCTTCCTCTTAATAATAACAAAGATTTTGACAATAAAATTATGTTTTCATTATGTTTGGAGCATGTTTTCCTCACAGTAATATGATTTCATGGAGGTACCTACTTTAAACAAAGCACACCAAATATCTCTCTCTTAATCTTTGACATGCAGCAAGAAAAACTTTTGTCATCCCCAGCTAAGAGGATTTCCATATAATTCACCATGAAAGGTAAATTCTTTTGAATTCTTTGTGTTCTATATATGACATTTGTATTTCTACATAGATTCACTTTGACTATGTAGGAACCTTACATTTCTACATTTATTGTAATTTTATAACTGACTTTACTGTGATCAACACTTATGTTAAATTTTTTGAATTGTTGCCCACTATTATTTAATTTTTTAAATATTTGGCATTAGTCCAGAAAGAAATTTTTAATAAATGCGTGACTGTATATCTTCTCTTGTGTTATTCTCTTATTTAAGACATTGCTTGTTTATGAATGCTATATGCATTAACTTTAATAATCAAGATTATAGGTGAAGTGATTTTCTTTCGTTGCTTATAAATAATTCATATTTTTTATTTGCATCACTGGAGTCAGAATAATTTTCATTCACGAAGTGCTATAACTAATAATCTTATTTATGATACAACAGCTACTAATATCAAATTAAAACAACAATACATTAAATAAAATTTGATTGCACAATTATCTCTTTTGGTTCCACAGTTAAACAGAATATGTTCAATAAAATTAATACAATTTATATTAATTGCTTCCGAAATTCAAATAACATGGTTAAAATTCTTACTTGGCCATATAAAATATTGAAAAATCTGCAAAAGTTATCCATTCATTTTTCTCTTATGAATCTTCATATGCATACTCACATTAAATTTTAGTGCTTCTATAAATGCACTAAAAATTTTAATTTTGTACATAAACTTGATTTTATTAAAATAAAAACTATAAATTGATTGAAATTATAAATCAGAGAACTTATTTTCAGTCTTCATATTTATTTTCACAAAATGTTTATATTAATTTTTTTATTGAATTTATGAATATCAAAAAAATTATGTTGATTAATTTAAAAAAAATAGTGTTATTTTTATTTATCAATAAGTCTGTGTCCTGGGTAAGATAAACTACATCCAACAGCAAAGGCCTCTGATCAGGAGGTTTTTGAGGAGCACAGAACCAACTCTTAAATTAATTGGTGTTCCCAGGTCCATCATTTTAACCCTGGATGGTAGCACCTGTCAGGGTCCCAGCTATGGGCAAATAGTTAACCCCACAAAAGTAGTCAAAACACTATAAAAGTGTAAAAATATGTTTTAATACCAGCAATACATTTTTTGAAAAAATATTACCAGCAATACATTTTTGAAAAAAAAACAAAACAATTACCAGCAATAAAACTCTTGTCAGCATTAAATAACCCATTGAGGTTTATACACCGTAAAACAAAGCAAACCAAACCAATCAATAAGTCTATTTTATTACAACTAAAATCAATAATTTTATTTAGGAAAAAGAAAAGCATACCATGTCCAAGTTCAGTCTGGGCATAACTACCAATAATTTGCAAATTCTTTGCCTTTGGAACCCAATAATTGATTTGCTCTTCACTTCCCATTAATTGGATTGTGGTGACAAACATAGTATAATGTAATGTGAAGAGTTGCAAAATATTTGGGTAAAAGTCACTGCAAAAGAAAAATTTATATTAAAAGTATTAACTTATATCAGAGAATAACCTATTTTATAACAAACATTATGAAGATTAATCAGAAGCATCATTTTGTTTTTTTTTTATATTCCAATTAATAAGTCTCTGCCTATATTTCTGAGATGAGGTATTATGTACATTATTTACATTATTGTGACTATTGTCCTCATCTTTGTTGCTATATTTATTATAACGTTTCAGCCGTTGTACGCTCCGGCCTTCTTCAGGTGGTTGGAATGTTGAACTGAACCCTTTATTTCACTCACTGGAGTAGACTGTTCTAGTTCCACGTACCATGTTTGATGGATGTCAGTTATCAGTTATCTCCCGTTAATTTCCCTCTGAAGGTTCTCCACTTAACCAAGTATTGAACTCACACTCTTTGGGTCCTGTCACTGGATCAAACCAACCTATATCCACTGTGCTATGTGTCCTTGAGGACATCTGGGTATGAATTTCTGGGTATTATAAACCTAATGTCTTCAGCAACCATTTTTACCAGTGCTCATATTGCAATTTTTTGCTGTTATCATTGCATGTTTTTACCAGAGCTCATATTGCAATTTTTTTTTGTTATCATTGCTTTTCTCTGGCACTCCTTATTACTGGTTCCCATATTGTATTTATTTCTATGCTTGGTCGGCTCAGGAGATTTTTGTGGCCTAGCATATGTGCTGATTCCTTAAGTTTACGAATTTTCCAATGGTGTTTCTTTTGTCTATGATCTCAACATGATCCCACAGAGGGTGGTGATCTCCCTTTCTCTCTCCATATGTGGTCAGCCACGCCTGATTTTTCCACTTCCCCTCATGTTACAGCTTTTCTGGTGTTCTTGAAGCCTTACCTTGAGGGGGGGGCCTGTCTCTCCTTTATATTCCTTTCCGCAGCTGCACGGGATAGCGTACACACAGTCTTTAGTCATGTTCTCCTCTATGGGGGGGTCTTACTCGGGAGATATATCTGCGAAGTGTCGTCAAGCTTTTGAATGTTGTCCTGATATTATATGGACCGCAGATCCTTTGTATTTTCTCTGATAACCCCTTCACATAAGGCAGGCAGACTGTTTTCTGATTGTTGTTCTCCTCCTCCTCTTGTACCTGCCTATCCCAGTTTTGGGGTGCTGCTGCCATGTACCCAGGGTAGTTGTTACATTGTAGAGTACTACTTATATTGACCAATTCTTTATCTGATGTCTCTGGGTTGCCACTTAGACTTTTGCTCGGTGTTGTAAACAACGGACGATCCCTTTCTTTATGCTGTATAGATGGTAGGAGTTGAAATTGAGGTACTGTCCAGTGAATGTCGGTTTATGGTATACGGATGTCTTAAACCCATGCTCTGTTCAAGATATTAGAACATCCAGGAATGGGAGTGTGTTGTTACTCTCTTTCTCCATTGTGAACTGTATCAAAGGTCTTATTGAGTTCACATGGTCCAGTAGAACTTGAACATCTTCCTGGTGTGGCTAGAGTATGAAGGTGTCATCTACATACCTCAACCATATAGTTGGCTTTAGAGATATAGATTCTAATGCCATTTCCTCAAAGTATTCCATGTATATAGTCGCCATTGCTGGTGATAATAATAAGCCCATTGCTAAGCCCTCATCCTGTCGATATATGTGTGATCCCATTCGAAGTGTGTTGTTTGTGTACAGAAAGTCAAATCTCCATCAGATTATCTATTGGAATACTGGTCTATTCTTAAAGGAAGAGTCAGAGGCCAATCTGTCTGACTACTGAAATGCCTCCTCCGTGGTACCTTTTGTGAACAAACTCATTGTCTCAAGCAAGCTCACCATCTGGTTGGATAGGATTGGAGCATCTTTGATTATTTCTTCTGGTGGTATGGAGTTTCGGACATATTTTTGACTTTCCGATCAATGGGTCAATTATATATCTACAAAGCGATTCAAAGGGTGGCACACAGAGCCTTAAAAATCTCCTTCTTTATTGATTCTTCAAAAATACCGTTTTTTCTTGAATTTTTTGGTGTAACTCGATATTCTTTGGGAAGTGTTAGGATTTAAATTCATACCCAGATGTCCTCAAGGACACATGGCTCAGTGGATCCATTGTTTTTGTTAGATCAGTGACAGGACCCAATGTTTTGAGTTCAATACCCGGTTAAGGCAGTGGAGAACTTTCAGAGGGAAATTAACAGGAGGTAACTGATAACTGACATCCATCAAACATATATATTGTGGAACTAGAACAGTCTACCCCAGTGAACAAAATAAAGGGTTCAGTTTGACATTCCAACCACCTGAAGAAGGCCGGAGCGTACAACAGCCGAAATGTTGTAATAAATATGGCAACAAAGATGAGGACAATAGTCCGAATAATGTAAATAATGTCCAATTAATAAATTCTTCAGATTTCAGTTTCTCTTACTGAACATGTATCATAAGGGACATATTAACACACTGATTGGAGTTTTCATTTGTCTTAGTTGAGAAATTTGCTAACATTTGAATGAACTAAAATTAAGCATTATATCCTGACATAATTAACATTTTCCTAGATCATTTTTATCAAATACATGGTTCCCACTCTCTAAAATTAATGTTGTAAATAATGGCAATCTTAAAAAAAAATAATGTCAATCTTTAAAAAACAAAAACAAAATGTTAATTACAACAAAAAATAATATCAAATAATGCCCCCAAAAAGTTTGATTAGTACAGCTTTATGATTAACATGTGCTGAATCTATGATAAAAATGATCTACTTTATTTTAAAAAGTATCAATTTTAAATTGTTTTCCTTTATGATTTTTCTCCCATAAATTGGTTACAAAAGGAGCTTAAATTACAATAGTTTATTACCATCTTCAAGTAGAAGCATAACCACTGCTATGGATGCAACACTTATGCTATTAGAATTTAATTTGAGAACCATGACTACAATATTTTACAAGATCACATTTTTAAATAATGCATTCTAATCCTCAACCCCAAAGAAAAAACCCCTGCTTTAAAATCAAGCTCCTCTGAAAGCCTCAGATTCTTATCAGAGATAAAAATATATTTTCTGATGAATGATCTTTTTTAGAAAATTAAAAAATGAAAAAAATCCACCATAATCCTGACCATTTTGCCATGTTTCATTTTTTTAGTTCTTTCACAACTTGTCAGACCCTTGCATTCTCATATATTTTTAAAAAACTTATGCAGTGTAATTGATACTGGGACAGGATTTTCAGAAACAACAACATTATTCAAAGGGACACTTTTTAAAGGCCCTAACTGGATCTTTTATATTTTATGAACCTGTTTGTGCTCTTTTTTGATGTTTCTGTTATAAATATATTTTTTCAAACTTTTGGCAACCTAAATGCAAACCAATCAGTCAAAATCATAAGTTTGAAAAAAAATGACAAATTTCAATTTTTTTTTGAAATTGAGAAGCTATTACTGCAAAGGTAAAGCCCCAGTTGCAATTATGGAGGGCCCAGGTTTCATTTGTTAAAGATAGAACTAAAGTCATAAGAGGAGATTATTGTGCATTATAGACTCACAGACTATATTTCAAGGTGACAGAACTCTACATTAATAAATTCCATATATTGAATTATATTTGTGACAAACTAATTGAATAGGGTTTTCCTTTTTTATTTTAATTTTAAAAATGCCTATTGGATTCAAATATTTTATTTACAAAAATGAAAAAATTACTGCTTTTAAAGTTAATGGGAGGCTCTATCATTACTGTAGAGTGTCATTTGATGTGATGAATGGTGTTATTTTTCAGCAGGAAATGGATAAACTTATCCAAGAACAAACATTAAGAGACGCCTCCTCTTAACTTGACAATAGGGAGAAACCAAGGAGAACATGACCAGAATCTTAAAAGATTCTTAATGGCCATCAGAGCTAAAAATCTTACACTGAATAAACAGAAAAAAACAGTATTCATCTGTATCCAGCAAATATCCATGGTTACTGAATGGTTAATAGGATAATAAAAAATAGTTTAAAAATTTTAAAAAAATTTCAAGACTTACTTGAATCAACAACCCTCAATTTTGAAGGAAAGCTGTTGGTATGCTAAATGGGTACCAAAGTTCTCCAACATAATCCAACCAGTGATTAAAAACTATAAGACAAAAAGTTGGGGAAATAGGAAGGAAAAATAGATGAATATTTATTTTTTTTATTTTTTGCAGATGTTAAAGTAGTGTAGCTAATCTAAAACCAGAAAGGTTTATGACTAGAAATGAAAAAAAAAAAAAAAAAAAAAAAAAATGTTTAACATAAAATAATTGAGGCTGTTAGGAAGTGGAATCACCTTTTTCATGACAACGTTTAACTTTGATTACAGGCCAATGTTCAGTGGCAAAGAAATTTTTTTGTTTTTTTAAAGGACAAAGTTTTTTTAAAAACAATAAAATTTTAGAATGGTGAATTAGATAAAAAGGCAGATTTCAATGTTTTACACTCCAATAGATCTCTCCTGTCAATTACAAACAACTCCATCCTATTTTTTTTTTGAATTTTTAAAACCAAAAACTCTTTTTTGGTACTTATCTCAAACAAAATAACAATCCCTGGACTCCTTCATTGCCTTTCATATAAAAATTAAACAAAAAATATATGGATGATTTATATTTAATTATTTTTCACTTTTGTATAAAAACAGCATAGCATAACAAAAAAAGGCCACAAACTTAAAAAAAAAAAAAGCTTTATCATCAAAATGTTTATGCTATTATTAAGATGAAAGACTAAAGTATTTTTGATTATTTTTTTTAATCCTTTCTAACATGTTCAAAATTTTGGTTAAAATCAGGTTTTGTTTTGGGTGGCATAATAATTACATTGATTTTTTTTTTTTTTTTTTTTCATTGAAAATAAATTGATTTGGAAATTCTTGTAAAAATCAAATAATTGTCTGATTTAATGAAATTTTCAGGGCTTATTCACAAATGAATGAAATTATTTTTGAAATTTTTTTTAAGAAAATTTTGGTAAAAAAT